TGTAGGATCTTCCCGGACTGGGGCACGAACCCACGTCCCCTGCACTGGCAGGCGGACTCTCAACCACTGCACCACCAGGGAAGCCCTGTGGTTTGCTTTTTAACAAGGTAGTAAGAGAAAATTTGAGGTACAGTAAGGCCAAAGATAAGGATACGATGGTCATTGAAAAGATAGTTTGTTAACAGTTCCTAAGAAAAGGGGACATGTCATGCCACGCCGTGCAGGACCACATGGGGAAGCACCCAGTCAGGACATAGAGACAAGGGGAGGAGTGTTGGCAAGAGCCTTTACTGTAGTTTCTGTGGGAAATAACAGTCTGAGGATTGGATCTGGGGTATAGAGGCTGTCCCTGGTTGTCTGGGACCTGGGCCTGGGGTGATTAGGGCAGAGAAAGTGTCCCTGAGTATAGGAGAACAATAAGGGAGGTGGCTGGAAGTGTGGGCTCTGGATAGATTGGTTTGCATTTGAGAGGTGTGCTTGAGGGAAAGTTTTTTCCTATCCCTAGAAATTGGATAACCATGGGAGGAGAATCCCTCTAGGGTCAGCAAGGTCCCAAGACGTCAAAGCATCAAATGTAGAAAATAAAAGACATGGTTAATACAGAGAGATGGGTGAGAATGCCCCCAGGTGCAGTGGAAAATGGGAAACCCTGGTCCTTCCCTTCACCCCCATTGCCTTGTCTTCTTCAGGATTAGTCCTAAAACCTTCCCTCTCAGTCAACATAGGCCCTGAGATGACTCCAGGTCACAGTATGACACTCTTATGTCTGATCCCTCACAACAGAATGGAATGTAGTATTCTTTACTCTGCTGAAACTGGGGATCTCAGAATGATTACAAGTTGAGAAAGTAGGAAAAGACCAAACTGAGCATCATGGCAGCATAAGGCATCCCTTGTTTTTGTATCTCCACTTCAACAACTAAAATTTAGCATCCATCCATGAACAAAAGTGCCTCTTATGGGAGTTGTGGGATCCAGCACCATATACCAGGAGGAATCTCACCCACGTATGCATTGGGTAATAGGCAGACACACCTCAGTACCAGCTGTGGAACCTGCAGGAGAATGTGACCTGGTTCCAGCCCCTCTTGATCATGGTCTGGGAGAACATGGACATGGGTAGTTACCTATGGACGACAGAACCTTTGTGAAGTTTACAAACCAAGACTGAATAATGAAGAAACGGAAAACTGGAAGAGACCAATAATGGATAAACAGATTGAATCAGTAATCAAAAACCTCCCAATGAAGAAAAGCCCAGGACCAGATAGTTTCACTGGTGAATTCTACCAAACATTTAAAGAGGAAATAACACCAATCATTCCCAAACTCTTCCAAAAAATTGCAGAGGAAGGAACACTCCCATGCTCATTTTACAAGGCCTGCATTACCTTGATATCGAAACCAGATAAGGACACTAAAAGAAGAGAAAACTACAGACCAATATCCCTGATGAATATAGATGCAAAAATGTTAGCAAACCAATTTTAAACGTGCATTAAGGGCTTCCCTGGTGGCGCAGTGGTTGAGAATCTGCCTGCTAATGCAGGGGACTCGGGTTCGAGCCCTGGTCTGGGAGGATCCCACATGCCGCGGAGCAGCTAGGCCCGTGAGCCACAAGTACTGAGCCTGCGCATCTGGAGCCTGTGGTCCGCAACAAGAGAGGCCGTGATAGTGAGCGGCCCGCGCACCGCGATGAAGAGTGGCCCCCGCTTGCCACAACTAGAGAAACGAAGACCCAACACAGCAAAAAATAAATAAATTTTTTAAAAAAGTGCATTAAAACCTCATACACCATGATTAAGCAAGATTTATCCCTTGAATGCAAGGATGGTTTAACATAGACAAATCAATAAATGTGATATATACATTAATAGAAAGAAGGATAAAAATCATACGATTATCTCAATAGATGCAGGAAAAACCTTTGACAAAGTACAACATCAAGATAAAAACTCTTAATAAACTGAGTGTAGAAGGAACAAACTTCAATACAATAAAGGCCAATACAACAGGCCCACAACCAAGGTCATACTCAATGATGAAAGGTTGAAAGCTTTTCCTCTAATATCAGGAACAAGGATACCCACTCTCGCCACTTCAATTCAACATAATACTGGAAGTCCTAGCTAGAGCAATCAGACAAGACGAAAAAAAAAAAAAACAACAACACCCGAATTGGAACGGAAGAAGAAAAATTGTCTTCATCTGCAGATGTATGATCTTATATATAGAAAACCCTAAAGACTCAACCCCAAAACTATTAAACTAATCAACAAATTCAGTAAAGTTGCAGGATATAAAATCAACACACAAAAATAAATTCTGTTTCTATATACTAACAACACAATATCTTGAAAAGAATAAAGGAAAAATCTTATTCATGATAGCATCAAAACCAATAAAATATCAATACTTAGGAATAAATATAACCAAGGAGGTGAAAGATCTGTACACTGAAAACCACAGGACTCTGATGAAAGAAATTGAAGAAGACAATGGAAATGGAAAGCTATCCCATGTTCACAGATCAGAAGAATTAATATTGTTAAAATGTCCATATTACCCAAAACCTTACATAGATTTGATGCAAATCTCTATCAAAATTCCAATGGCATTTTTCACAGAAATAGAACAAACGATCCTAAAATTTGTAGGGAACCACAAAAGACTCCAAATAGCCAAAACAATCCCGAGAAAGAAGAACAAAGCCATAGGCATCACACTTCTTGATTTCAAACTATACTGCAAAGCTATAGTAATCAAAACAGTATGATACTGGAATAAAAATAGACGCACAGATCAATGGAACAGAACTGGGAACCCAGAAATAAACCCTTGTATATACAATCAACTAAATTTGACAGGGAAGCCAAGAATGCTCAATGGGGAAAAGATAGTCTCTTCAATAAATTGTGTTGGAAAAACTAGACAACCACTTGCACAAGAATGAAATGGGACCTCTACCTTCAACCACTTACAAAAATTTAACTTGAAATGGATAAAAGACTTAAACATAAGACTACAAACAATAAAACTCCTAGAAGAACACAAAGGGAAGAAGATCCTTGACACTGTTCTTGGCAACAATTTTTTTGGATATGACACCAAACGTACAAGAAACAAAAGCAAAAATAAATAAGTGGGACTACATCAAACTAAAAAAGCTTCTGCACAGCAAAAGAAACAATCAATGAAATGAAAAGGCAACCTACCAAATGGGAGAAAATACTTGAAAACTGTTGGTGCTCTTTCCTGGGATAGGATTGGAAGGTGGGGTTAGGATTGGAAGTAGTGTCATTCATAAATATTTTTGTTCTTAAAGTAATAGCAAACTTCAGCAGTATTAAGAAGAGTAGTCTAGTGCTCTGGCCCTGGTTTGGGAACCTAGTGAGCACCTGGAGAATGGAAAAGACATTCTCTTCCCTGCTCCCCAAAGAGGGCATGGAGTCCATAGACAGAACTTGAGGATTTATGTCCCCAAGGTTCCCATATAAACATCGTGATTCCTTTTCTTGCATCCTGTTTTCTAGATGAAGATGAAGAAAGTGGACCTGACCCTGCAAAAACAGGTAATATAATTAGAGAGGACCTGTTTTTCCCAGTTGTATCCGCCTCATGAGGCAGAGGATCCCCTTCTGATTAAAAGGCACAAGGAGAATCTTAATGCCCCCTCTCTCCATGCTGGGAAGATGCTCTCTAAGGCACTCCCAGGTTCTGAAAACACTGGTGAAAAAGACAGCACAAGGTATATCATCTGCCATTTTACATAATGAAAAACTACGGTGGAGCTTCGTGAAGAATGAGGGTGAGTTTGGGGAATGGGACTGGAACCTGTGGAGTCCAGGTACTTTGGGCATATATATGATCAAAGACTTGTTAAAACTTTAAAGTTCTCAAAACATGGTGAATATTAAATTCTTTTTCTGATATTGCTTTTCCGTGAAGAATTGACTAGGCTTCTACCCTCAGAGATTCGTAAAAACTAGGGCTTTCTTCAGGCTTAGACTGAAATGGGCTTATCCATAAAAGGATTTCTTCTTGCCATGCCCTGCGGCTTGTGGGATCTTAGTTCCCTGACCAGGGATCAAACCTGGGCCCCTGGCAGTGGGAGCAAGGAGTCCTAACCATGGGGACCACAGGGGAATTTACATAGATGCTTAATGGTTTTTTCTTTCAGCAACTCACAACCTTCCTGTAATCTACTCCAATGAGCCAAAATTGTTCAAGGTTGTCATTAGTATAATAGAATTTTTTTTAAAAGATATCCTCGGGACTTCCCTCGTGGTTCAGTGGTTAGGATTCTGTGCTTCTACTGCAGGGAGCATGGGTTGGATCCCTGGTAGGGGAAACTAAGATCCCACATGCCACCCCACCCCACACATCCCCGGCATGGCCAAGAAAAAAGAAAAAAAAAAAGATATCCTCCACTGTATTTCCTCTTTGAAAATGTTTTTATTCAGTATCAGCAGGCTTGGGAAAATGACTGCTACACGATCCAAAATGACTGCTACTCTATCCGGTAGAGTCAAAGAACTTGGAAGTATCAGAAGTGAGAGGGAAAGTCAAAGCTTTCATATTTTTAGCTCTTCTATAATTTATTTTCTTTCTTTTTTTATTGATATATCACTCCCATTCCATAAATTCACCCTTTTAAAGTGGACAAGGCAGTGGCATTTGGTATATTCACAAAGTTGTGTGGTCATCACCACTATAATTCCCCAAACGAAGTCCCATTAAGCAGTCACTCTTCATCCCCCCTCTCCTGACAGGCCCTGCCAACCATTAATCTGCTTTCTGACTCTATGGTTTTGCCTTTTCTGGACATTTCATGTAAATGCATTCACAAAATATGTGGTCTTTTGAGACTGGCTTCTTTCACTTAGCATAATGTCTTCAAGGTTCATCTATGTTGTAGCATGTATCAGTACCTCATTCCTTTTCATGGCTGAATAATATTCCATCATATGGATAGACCACATTTTGTTTATCCACTCATCAGTGGATGGACATTTGAGTTGTTTGTACCTTTTGGCTATTGCAAGTAATGCTGTTGTGAATTTAGGTGTACCTGAGTCCCTGCTTTCAATTATGTATCTACCTAGGAATAGAACTGCTGGGACACGTGGTAACACTATGTTTAACTTTTTGAGCAACAGTCAAATTGTTTTCCAATGTGACTGTACCATTTTACCTGCCCACTAGTAATTTATGTGGGTTTCAATATCTCCACATCCTTTCCAACACTTGTTTTTTTTTTTCTTTTAATTTTATTATAGCCAACCTAGTGGGTATGTATATCATTTCTTAAAATGTACTTTCAGGGCTTCCCTGGTGGTGCAGTGGTTGAGAGTCCGCCTGCCGATGCAGGGACACAGGTTCGTGTCCCAGTCCAGGAAGATCCCACATGCCGTGGAGCGGCTGGGCCCGTGAGCCATGGCCGCTGAGCCTGCGCGTCCGGAGCCTGTGCTCCGCAACGGGAGAGGCCACAACAGTGAGAGGCCCGCGTACCGCAAAAAAAAAAAAAAAAAAGTACTTTCAGAGTTCACTTTTTTTTTTTAATTTATTTATTTTTGGCTGCATTGGGTCTTTGCTGCTGCACGCAGGCTTTCTCTAGTTGAGGCAAGCAGGGGCTACTCTTCACTGTGGTGCGTGGGCTTCTCTTGTTGTGGAGCACAGGCTCTAGGCGTGGGGGCTCAGTAGTTGTGGCACACGGGCTTAGTTGCTCCACGACATGGGGGATCTTCCCGGACCAGGGCTCGAACCCATGTCCCCTGAATTAGCAGGTGGATTCTTAACCACTATGCCACAAGGGAATTCCCAGAGTTCACATTTACACCACCACAATTCTAAACAGAGTAAAATATCTGTAAGCACAGATATGCTGTCCCCAGCCTGTATACACATGCCTCCAAAGGGACCCTCTACTCCAGTTCTGTCCAGAGACCAATGATCAATGTCATCACCTAACTTTGCCACAAATCCAGGCTTTCTTTCTGGTGCCTGTGACTTCATTTATGCCCTGTGTCAAGCTGTATCCCTTTGCTCTGTCAGATGCCTTAGATCAATAGCATAGACCTTCTGCAAATTTATTTTTGTAATTTGTAAATAGTGATGCAAAGTCTAACCAGGATATGTGGACATCTCAGGGTAAACCCAGTTTAGTGGGCGGTGGACAGTTTTGCAATCATTTACTTCTCATTTCTAGGGAACTGCTATGTGAGAGAAACTGTAGGGTAGTCAAGGGGAGGATTGAAAGCATAAGGCAAGGCAGATGTTTCTATGCCTCTATCCAGGAACAGCTGTTCCTGTCCCATTTTTACATGTCCATGGGGATGCACTGCTCCCACAAATGGCAGCCGTCGGTAAAGGGGTGCTCTGGGCCACATAAATCCCAAGGCATCCTTCCAGGCAACCCCCCAACGAAGACATCAAAGTGCTCACGCTGGAAAGGGGAAAAAGCCATGATCTAGCACGCATCAAAATGGCAAAGGAATCTGGGGGAACACGGGTGGAGGAACGTTGACAGCATCTGTTACAGACGGAGATGGGTGTGGGTAGAATATTGGGTGAGAAAATAATCATGATCACTGCAATCTCATTATCTTACACATTGAGTCAGATTCTAGACTGAGTGCTTTAGAGCCAGTATTTTTCATCATCACCTCTCTCTTCAAGTGAGGTATTCGTTTTTTTTTTTGGAGGGTGGGGGCATGCCAGAAGGCATGTGGGATCTTCCCCAACCAGGGGTCAAACCCGAGCCCCCTGCAGTGGGAGCGCAGAGCCTTAACCACTGGACCTCCAGGGAAGTCCCAAGTGAGGTATTCTTACCTCCTTTTCCCCCACCTCCTTTCCCACCGTTTCCTGGAGGTATAATTGACCAATAAAGCGGTAAGATATTGAAAGTGTACAACACACTGATGATTTGATACATGTGTACATTGTAGAAAGATTCTCCCCATAGAGTTAATTCACACGTCCCTCAACTCATCTCATAGATTTACTTTTTTTTGGTTGAGAATGCTTAAGATCTACTCTCTTAGTAAATTTCCATTATATGATACAGTGCCATCAACTAGGGTTCATGCGGTCCATTAGATCCTCAGACCTTATTCATCTGAAACTGACAGCTTGTACACTTTGACCAACCTCTCCCCATTTCCCCCGCCCCCAAGCCCCTAGCAACCACCATTCTACTCTCTGTTTCTATGAGCTTATTTTTGAGATTCCACATATAAGTAATACCATGCAGTATCTGTCTTTGGCTTATCTCACTTGCATAATACCCTCAAGGTTCATCCATATTATTGCACACGGCAGGATGTCCTTCTTTCTCTTGGCTGAATAACATTCCGTTGTATATATACACCACACGGAAAATTCTTCTTCTCTTTCTTTTTTGTTTAGAATGCCCTAAGATTTACTCGCCATCCTTTTTTGGGGGGTATTTTTTAATTGAAATAGAGTTCACATACAATATGAATTTCAGGTGTACAACACAGTGACTCGATATTTTTTATACATTACAAAATGGTCACCACAATAAGTCTCGTAACCATCTGTCACCGTACAAAGTGACTAGAATACTGTTGATTATATTCCCTATGTGTATATCACATTCCCCATGACGTATTTATTTTGCGACTGGGAGTTTGTACCTCTTAATCCCCTTCACCTATTTCATCCTTCCCCCCAGCCCCTCTCCTCTGGCAACCACCAGTTTGCTCTCTGTATCTATGAGTCTGTTTTCGGTTTGTTTGTTCATTTGTCTTGTTTTTCAGATTCCACATATAAGTAAAATCATATGGTATTTGTTTTTCTCTGTCTGACTTATTTCACTAAGCATAATACCCTCTAGGTCCATCCACATTGTTGCAAATGGCAATTTTTCATCCTTTTTTACGGTGAGTAGTATTCCCTTCTTTATCTATTCATCTATCGATGGACACAGGTTGTTTCAATATCTTTAGAAAATGATTCTTGGACTTTGATTCGTCTGTTGTTAGACTTGTCATCACTTCTATAGCAACACAGTTAGTTTGGGAAGATGTGTTTCTCACCAGATTTTGAATTCTCTGGAACAGGTTCAGAATATCGCTTGTCTTGAATGTCCACACCCAGTGGTCAGCACAGAACAACCCTGGCCTTGTGGCAGACTGGCCTAAAAGGGTTAGACATACCAGAGTCCAAAGCCCATCCTGTCCGTGTGACTTTGGGGAACTCGATTTACTTTCTGGTACTTGATTTACGTATGAACGAAATGGGGACTGTAAACCTATCTTGCGTGCTTATCGTCAAGATGATAAAAAACAGGGAATCCCCCGGCAGTCCAGTGGTTAGGACTCTGGGCCTTTCACTGCCGAGGGCCCAGGTTCAAACGCTGGTTGGGGAACCAAGATCCTGCAAGCCGAGTGGCAAAAAAAAAAAAAAAAAGATGAGAAGGAATGCACGTGAATGCTAAGTGGCTCACAGTAAATAAATATTATTCCTGGGGATGAAACATTTACTGGGTATTTCCCATCTGCAAGGCACTGGGCTAGCCCTCTCTGTATGTACTGACCACTCAATCCCCCTACCACCCAGTAAAGTAGCCACAATTGCTATCCTCACTTTGTATAAATTTATTTATTTATTTATTTTTGGCTGCCCCCACAAGGGGCTACTCTTTGTTGCGGTGCGCGGGCTTCTCATTGCGGTGGCATGTCTAGTTGTGGAGCACCAGGTCTAGGCGTGCGGGCTCAGTAGTTGTGGCTTGCGGGCTCAGTAGTTGTGGCTCGCGGGCTCTAGAGCGCAGGCTCAGTATTTGTGGCGCACAGGCTTAGTTGCTCCGCAGCATGTGGGATCTTCCCAGACCAGGGCTCGAACCTGTGTCCCCTGCATTGGCAGGCAGATTCCTAACCACTGCACCACCAGGGAAGTCCCGCTATCCTCACTTTGAAAGGGAAAACAAAAGCTCAGGGAGATGAAGAATTTCCCTAAAGCATAATTGGACATTCCAGCTCTGAAGTGGCCGCTCCAAGCTTTGAAGCCAGGCTGTCTGGCTCCTTGAAACCGTTCAGCTAAAGCTGATCAGTGTGTTTCAGGAGCCAGTCTTACTCTCTATCCCACCCTTCTCCCACCAGACACCAAAGTCATCTTTGTCGCCACCTTCTGCTGCCTCTCTCTCTTTCTCCTCTTCATCGCCGTCTTCCTCATCTACAGATGCACTCGGCACGGTAAGTGCAGAGAAGCACACGTTTAAAACTCTGAGGAAGGGAGTAAAGTGAAGGATTCCCTCAGGAGATAAATTCCTCCTTGTATTTTTTTTTTAATAGATTCATCACATGAAGAATCCGCCAAGAGGTAGATATACTTGACAGATCTCATGCCCTAACTCCCACTCCATTCTTCAGAGACTCCACTGGTACATCGGCGACTCGTATGCCCAGCCCCGCTACTTGCAGCCCTATCTTCTCCCCCAAATCTTCAGATCCCATACTTTAATATGTTTCTCTCTCTCAGAACCAGCCATTCCAAATTTCCCAAGCAGGGAGCTGCAGGTAAGTGATCAGGGAAGAAACCATAAGGAATCTTGGGTTAGAAAGACGAAGATCTGACTCTTGCAATCTGAGAACTGATTTGTTTTTTTTCTTTTACTCACATGCAGGTGTATCCAAACTGGAAAGACTATCTGAATCGGTGAGTTCTCCCCTTTGGAATAACCCAAGAGCTCACTTCCACCACAGGCGGGTCTGTCTAGCTCATACGCTGGTTATATAGATAAGGCCAATTAATATTGAGTTTAAAAACATGTACTTTAATGGAACTCGTAAAAAGAGATTAGAATGGTGGTTACGAGGGACTGGGGGGGGATATGACATTTAAGGGAACGAACTTGCAACTTGTTCAGGAATAAGTCGTGGGAATCGAATGCACAGCACGGGGATTATAGTCAACAACACTGTATCATACACTTCAGAGTTGCTAGGAGGCTAAATCATAATTGTTCTCACCACAAAAAGAAATGATAATTATGTGACAGGATGGAGGTGTTAGCAATGTGATAGCCATAGTGCAATATATCAATGTATCACATCGACATGTGTACACCTTAAACTTGCACAATGTTATGTCAATTATATCTCAAACGAACAAAAAACCCCACATGCTTTGAATTCCAGAGTAGCTGGATTCCAGCTCCCAATGTCTACTATTTATCACCAGTGTGGTCTGAGACAAATCACAAAACCCCCATGATTTGGACCCTTCCTTTCCTTCCATATCTAAGGGGAATCAAAATCCCCATCTAAAAGGCTTGTGAGAGTCTAGTGATGTCATAAACATAAAGGGTTTATTGGAGTTTCTGGCAAATTTTAAGGGTCAGATGGATGGCAGGAAAGCATCATTTAACAAATATTAACCAATTTACATCCATCCATTTTTTCTACTTAAAATACTGCTTATTTGTGATTTAACATTAATGAGCATTATAACACCTAAGAGCAGTTGCACATCTGAAATGCATCTGGTGAGACTGAGGACCTCAATTTTTAATTTAATTTAAATTCGTTTGAATTTAAGTCACCGTGCGTGGCTCGTGGCTACTGTATTTGGCATCTCAGCTCTACATGCACGTCTCTTTTCCTCAAAGCCTGAAGAATCCCAGGGAGTGACCTATGTAAAGCTAAACACCAACGCACTGTCTGAGGCAGCTTCTGTCCCCACCAAGGAGCCCGCAGGGTCGTGTGACTATGCAACACTGAAGGTATAGAACTGAAGGAAGAGCTTCTTCCCTGGGAAGGAGAGTATGGATTAAGACGACGGAACTTATGAAAGCCCAGGTGGCTCTGTGTCTTTGGTTCATTATCCATAATAATAAAATATTTTCCCTTCTCACTTCCCCTCCTCTCAACAATTACTGGGTGGGTTTTCACAAAACTGGAGCGTAACCTTTGTATGGTTCGACTTAAAACATGGGCTAAGAATACGTATTGTATCTATGGGCTGGTGGTACTCATAATACTCACTTAGGGAGTTCAGGACGGTACCATGTAAAGAGAAAATGGTTCCTCAGAGAAGACTACGTGATTGCTCTCTGGTGAGTCATCCCACAGACACAGAGATTTCAAAAAGGAGCACAAAACTACAAGCCATGAAGGGAGACACTCAGGTGTGAATTAACAAATTCCTAAGTAGCATGCACCAAGGTAAGCAGCTAAAAGGCTAAAAGTATTTGGGACATGATTCTTTCAGGCCGTGCTGGGCAGCCCTCAAGTCAAGACCAGTTTCCTCTTTGACATGAATGAAAGGGTTTTCTTACTGCCATCGTATTCCTGCTTATATTCTTTCTTTCTTATTATTAAAATCAAAGGCTAAAATAAAGTTAGGCTTACAGAATCTATGTGGATTTTGTCACTTGGTGCCCATAACTTAACTCACGTTAATACAGCATTGTAAGGATTTTTCTGAGTGTGGACTTTTGTGTATGTGACAGTGGTACTGACCACTTATATATGGATACAAGTACAAATATATGAGCTTTGCTTCCAAAGTTATGTCACTCAATCAGGTTTCAAAGCCATTTTAAAATATATGAATAAAGTGTAAATATTTGGAACGTACACATAAATATTCTTAACTCAGTAGCGTATGCTGGATAACTTTTTTTTTTTTTTTTTTGGCCGTGCCGTGCAGCTTGTAGGATCTCAGTTCCCCGACCTGGGATTGAACCCAGACCCTCGGCAGTGAGAGCAGGGAGTCCTAATCACTGGACCACCAGGGAATTCCCTGGATAACCTTATTAAAGTTTTTAATTATGAAACAATTCTATCATAAAGAAAAACACCCAATAATATAAGTGGAAATATGCACACTGACCTTATTTTCAAAACATTAACACTTTGCTGTGTTTTCATTCTAGCACTCCCAATCCATTTTCCTTCCTCTCTTCCTAAGAGGTCGACATTACCCAAAGGAGTATATATTATACCGATGCATTTTTTTCATACTTTTACTCCTCAAGCATCTATCAATAGTCAATATATGGTAATATTTTGTGTGTTATTACAACATTATACATATATATGGAATCATTATTACAGTTCTGTCACCTTTTTTATTGCCTTCGACATTACGCTTTTGAAATTCATCTAGGTGACTTTTGTGTCTCTATCTTATTGCCTGCCATACAGAATTCAGTTGTTAACCATACCATGGAATATTATTCAGGCACAAAAAAGAATGAAGCACTTTTACATGCCACAACCTGGATGAACCCTGGGAACATTATGCTAAGTGAAAGGAGCCTGGCACAAAAAGCTTCACATTGTAGGATTCCATGTATATGAAATATCCAGAAAGGACAAATCCTTAGCAATGGAAAGCAGATTACTGGTTGCCAGGGGCTAGGGGAGGGGAGGAATTTGGAGTGAGTGCAAACAGGCATGGGGTATCTTTTTGGGGTGATGACAATGATGTAGAATTAGACAGTGGTGATGGTCGCACAACCTTGTGAATAAACTAAAGACCATTGAAAATAAACTAAAGACCATTGCATTGTACGCCTCAGAAGCATAGATTCTATGGTATGTGAATTATATCTCAATAAAAGAAAATTTTTAAAAGGACTTGGCTGTATGCACAAACCATGGTTTCTCTTTGTTCTTTCCCGGACTGCTAGATGTTTGGGTTGTTTCCAATGCTATGCTGTCAGCAAAATGCTGCAATAAACATCCTTGGAGCTACCTTCTCGCTCACATGTGTGATCTCTTGAGGGTTTACATTTAGAAGTAAAATCTGTCTTCTATGATGTCCACACCTCTTAACCCACTAGAAGAGGCAAACTGATAACGAAGCTGGTTTCCCCTATTTATTCTTCCACCAAGGATGTATGTTTCCAATTCCCTGCATCCTTACCAATTCATAAGTGTATTAAACTTTGGAATTTTTGCTGACGAAATATGTGAACCCATAACCTGTTTTAAGCTGCTTATATAAAGATACCTCATTGCTGCTTTAATTTGCATTTTCCTGGTTATGAATGAGGAATATTGACCATTCGGGGTTTCTTTTCTGTTGAATTGTTGGTATTTTCTGTACTGATTTAAAGGGCATAATTATATAGTAGGCACACCTTTCCTTTGTAAGCTATATGCTGCAAATACCTCCAGTAAATCTATGATTTGTATTTTCATTCTTCTTTGTATCTTTTAATATTGGCTACTCTAAGTAATTCATCTTTTTATTTCTATTTTGAGAGATTTCTTCGTGTCTGGAAGCTTAACATGAGAAACAGACTCTCCTCTATGTTCTCTGAAACTTAAAATCTTAAAAATTTTGTTTTTAAAAAAAAAGTTTTAATTTGGTTTTCATATTTAATCCATCTGAAATTAATTTTTGTCAAGGAGTGAGGTAAAGATCTAATTTTTCCATTTGGATAATCAATTGTCCCAGTACCCCTTATTGAGAAGCTTGTTGTTTTTCATTTGATGAAATGCCTTCAATTTGATGAAATATGATCATTTCTATTTTCATCTGCACCACCTTCCATTGCCAGCATAGTTCAGACACTTGGATGGAAATGACAAAAGGAAAAACCTAACTTGAAAAGACTTTAAAAGAATAAAGAGGGACTTCCCTGGTGGCACAGTGGTTCAGAATCCGCCTGCCAACGCAGGGGTCACGGGTTCGATCCCTGGTCCGGGAAGATCCCACATGCCGCAGAACCACTTAGCCCGTGTACCACAACTACTGAGCCCGCGTGTCACGGCTACTGAAGCCCGCGCACCCAGAGCCCGTGCTCCACAGCAAGAGAAGCCACTGCAATGAGAAGCCCACGCACCGCAACAAAGAGTAGCCCCCCCGCTTGCCGCAACTACAGTAAGCCCGCGCACAGCAAGGAAGACCAACGCAGCCAGAGAAAACAAAACAAAAAAACAATAAAGAAAGAAGGAAAGAAGGAAGGAAGGAAGGGAGGGAGGGAGGAAGGGAGGAAGAAACTCAATCATGTAACCAGACAAAGGAAAAAGACAGCTAGAGATAGCCTCAGACAACAGTCAATACATCCACATACTCAAATGCCTTTTTTTCTTTATGTCTCTCGCCTATCTCTATTCCTGTGTCATCATTATTATTCAGACCAGCTGTCCCTATGAGTCTGGAACTGATTGTGACAAGCCTAGGCTCACAGCCTCACAGACTTTCACCCAAAGAGGTAAGGGGGGGGGGGCCTCCTACTTACTGGATCAATTTAGAAAAAGATATTATTGGCTACCTTTGGAAGATGCTAGAAACACAACTCACAAAATTTTAAAACACAGAGGAAAGAAATCAAGTGTTTCTCCTGCCTTTCATTTATAACCTGTACCTCAGGACAACCAAATAAATGAATAAGCCAAGTTTCTACTCATACAAGTGCTACAACTAATAGGCAAAGAAGAAAACCTCCAAGTCTTATCTTTGGTTAATGCATGCCCACGTTATCGGGAATAATAACAGAGGGTCTGGTTAGTGTCTTTTCCTCCAGAAACTGTATGTACATGATAGAACATCCAGAGACAAAGCAGAAGGGACCTCAGATGGTCAGAATCAAAGGGATTTATTTTTTTCAAAGAAGTACCGAAAGAAGTGGCAGATCTCATCTAAAATCCAGGCCAGAGGTCGGCAAACTTTCTGAAAAGGACCAGAGGGCAATATTTTCAGCATCTGTGGGCCACAGGACCTCTGTTGAGACTATGCTTCTCTGCTGTTGCAGCATGAAGGCAGCCATAGATGATACACAAACAGGGGCAGCTGTGTTCTAATAAACCTTTATTTATAAACACAAGTTGTGGGCCATAGTTTGCCAACCCCTGTCCTAGACCCATGCTTTCTGAAATCTGAATGAATCACCAGAAGAAGAACTGAATTAAGCCAGGAAAGGCGTGTTCTAACGTGCAAGGAAAGACATTTTTTAAACCCCCTTCTCAGTTTTCAGATCTTTAAAAGTGAGAGACAAGCAGGATAGGATGGTTTCTGCAGTCCTTTCCATCTTTGATGTGCTAAGTCTCTGGGGCCATATATCCTACAGTGGCCGTGGGTTTGTCCAAGGGAGGGGGTCCAGCCAGCATCTCTTTGGAAAAGAGTCCCAGCTGTTCTGCAACTTGGATGGGGCCGGTTTCCTAGGAAGCTTTGTTGTTTGCACCTTTGCCATTGCTGACTGTAAAATACAGTGAAGAAAAGTGGGTGTAGCATGGGGGAAAGGGGGCCAAGAGTAGAGAGGTCTCCTGACTCTCAGGTCCCTGATTCCCCCACCTCCTTTGTTTCTCCCTAGGACGTGTCTGTCTCTTTGCTCTCATGCCGTGTGTGGGTTTATGTGTCCATATATGTATGTATGTTTATGTGTGCATGCACACGTGTATGTGTGTATGTGTTGTGGGAGGCTCAAGGAGAAGACAGAAGGTGGAGGAGAGTGAGGGGTCAGGATGCTTGGAGGCAAGAAAAGAGAAGACACACTCTGGATTTACTTGGAAGGCAAACAGTACATAGGGGTGGGGGGCTCTGCTATACAGACTCTCTCTCTCTGTCTCTCTCTCTCGCTCTCTCTCACACACACACACACATGCACACACAGACTATACTAGTCTCCTCCACCTGCCACAATAAAATACCATAGATTGGATGATTTAAACAACAGACATTTGTTTTCTCAGTTCTGGAGGCTGGAAGACCAAGATCAAGGTGTCGGTCAATTCAGTTTCTGTTGAGAGCCCTCTTCCTGGCTTGCAGATGGACACCTTCTCACTGTGTCCTCATGTGCCCTTTCCTCCCCTTGATACTAATCCTATTGATGAAGGCCCCACCCTTATGACCTCATTCAGCCTTTAATTACTTCCTTAGAGGCCCCATTTCCAAATACAACCGGACTGGAGTTTAGAGATTCAACACAATGAATTTCACGGGGGAGGCGGGGGGCACCAACATTTGGTCCATAAGACTAAGACACACACACACACACACACACACACACACACACACACGCACACACAGTTCTATACAGACATCCACAGAGCAAGCTACACAGAGCCTCTACACATACACAGTCACACACCAGCACACACTCTTATGGGCTGAATTTTGTCTACCCCCGAAATCCACATCTTTAAGTCCTAAACCCCCAGTACCTCCGAATGTTGTCTTATTTGCAGAGGGGTCATTGCAGATTAATTAAAAGGATGAGGTCATACTGGAATAGGGTGAGCCCTCAACCAATATGATTGTATCCTTGTAAAAAGGGGAAATTTGGACCCAGGGAGAGCACCACGTGAAGATGAAAGCAGGGGTCGGGATGATATGTCTACAAGCCAAGAAACACCAAAGCTTCCCCAGAGACCCACCAGATACCAGGAGAGCAGTGTGGAACACAAGGAACCAACCCCGAGCACAGCTTGACTTTGGACTTCTGTCCTCCAGAGCTGTGAGAGAACAGATTTTGGTTGTTTCAGCCACCCAGTCTGTGGTAGTTTGTTAAAGCAGCCTGAACAGATTAATACAGGAAAGTAGGGAGGCAGCAGGAATGCCAGGAGAAGCAGGAACCTCACCTCCAAGCTCTCAGCATATGCTCCACTGTCCCATCGGAATTCACCAACAAAACACAAAGATGCACGATTAAGAACTTCACGATGGGGCTTCCCTGGTGGCGCAGTGGTTGAGAGTCCGCCTGCCAATGCAGGGGACACGGGTTTGTGCCCCGGTCTGGGAGGATTCCACATGCTGCGGAGCGGCTGGGCCCGTGAGCCATGGCCGCTGAGCCTGCGCGTCCGGAGCCTGTGCTCCGCAACGGGAGAGGCCACAGCACTGAGAGGCCCGCGTACCGCACAAAAAAAAAAAAAAAAAGAACTTCACGATGGTGACCGCAGACCGCAGAGCGTTAGAACCCAAGCGTGGCTCTCCTTCTGAGTGTGAGGTCCCCTTTGCCCTGGTTGCCTGCCCTTGAAGCTGGCCCTGTCTTCATCCCAGCTTCAACCAGAAGCTGAGGCAGGAGATAGATGGGCCCCAGGAGGAACAGCTGGAGTTTGTCCCCTGTGGAGAGATACTCCAAGATAAAGACTGTAACAGGAGGGAGGAGAAGCTGAGCCCTGCCCAGGTAAGACACCACATATTTCTCATTCTCAAGGTCGAGGAGACCTTCCCGAATACACATGCACAGAAAGGCTCCTTCGAGGTCAAAAAGGGAGTGATGTCAGCCTACCCATAGGCCTCTTCGCAAGAATCCACCTTGGCTGAGAGATGCACGCGCATGCAGGGGAGGACCCTGAGATAAACCAAGTACTGGACTCAGAACCAGGCAAAGCAAGATGATTGGCCAGAGCAAACCCGGAAGAAATTCCCCATGTAAGTGATTCAAACTACCACAAGGGCGCGACTCTCTCTCTGAGCCCACCTGTGTGTGCCTATCCACACATACTCTTTTTCCTCCTAATAAACACTTTACTTGCTTCACTACTTTCTGTCTTTGTGGGAATTCATTTCTACAAAGCCAAAGGGCCAGGGGCCTTGTCACTGGCCGCTGGTCTAGTGGTTAGGATTCAGCGCCCTCACTGCTGCGGTCTGACCTCAACCTCTGGCCGGGAACTGAAATCCTGCTTCAAGCCTCTGCAGGCCAAGGCCATCCGAGATCATATTCTCTAGGGATGGTGCATCTGAAGGAGAATTCACTTTGCTCCCCTCCCCACCGAGCCACCCAGCCTGGTTGACAAGGTGCTTAA